GCACAAACTCATAGATAATTACACAACTGTTATACAGTTCAGACTTCATTCATTTCCAAAACAACTTTACAAGCAGTTACAAATACAGCTAATAATTCAACCTTACATGTTATACAATTAAAACATTTACCAATATAAGTAACCAATCCTGGGATGTCCTATTAATAAATAACACTTTTTCACGTCAGTGTGGCTGAAACCTACCTGCTGAGTGAGATCAGTCCAAAAACATTGTGACAGAGCTGATGGACTTTAAAACGGTTATTTTCTTACTCTGATGGCTTCTTTGTTTTCCCTGTGCAAAGAGATCAACAAAAGCAACACAATCACAAAAACAGAGCAATAAATGAATAGCATTACTGTCATGGACTATGGGTCAAAGTATCATCAGAGCATTCTGCATCCTCCTTGTGTTTGTGTTCAAAAAGCTGCTTTTGGTTTTGTAGATACAGCTCCTTCTTTCCTAAACATGCGGCTGCCCCGGTAGCAAAATGGCAACGGCTTTTTAAAATTAAGCTAAAAAAAAAAGCAAATTAAAAATATGCAACAAAACAGTAATTGTGTTTGATTCTTCTGCAGACTGTGCTGAAGAGACTGTTTCATATTAAACATGGAAGTGTTACATTCAAAAGTCTCTCACATGAGAGACTTTTGAATGTAATCTTCTTGGTAGATTTTTGTTCCCCTTATATTATGAAATGGGAGCTCCACGCAGAAAATTTGCATTGCTAGTAGTCCCAGCAGTAAACAGTTGGTGGCGCTAATGCGACGAGTAATGCCAGAACAAAGTGCACGTTCGCTGGGAACTCAGTAGCCGCCTTTTTGCTCACACACTAAACACTGCCACTGCTAATTTATTGCCTGTGGTGGACAACGTGCTTGAGAATGGGCTCCCGGGACCAATGACACTGCCTGTGTTACCCCCCCTCCAAGTTAAGTTTACTGGTGAATGGTCACCCCTGGTATTGTAGCACAGGCTCTCTTAATGAATTTAAGCAGGCAGAAAGCAGAAAAGTCTTTCTTAAGCGGCCCCCTCCTGACTCAAGTCACTTCAATGCCAGCCAAATCCCTGAACTGACACAACACATTCCTTCCGGCAGGAAATACGGTAAGTGCTGCTCCTCTGTACGCCCTCTTCCATCCACAAGGATAAAAGACAAAAACTATTTATTGGCTGTTTATTTTAGATGTCATTGGCACAAACAACATTCACTACCTGCATTTTCCCAGACATGGTATCTGGTTATTGATGGTCTTAGAGAATGAACTCTGCACTGTGTCCCGTTTCTTTAGACCTCAGATAAAAATTTGATTGGAGGAAAATATCGTTAGGCCTGTGATGTACTGGTGACCCTTCCGAAGTGTACTCTGTGTGCACCCACTGTCAGCTGTGATAGGCT